AGCAGGCTTGTCTGCTCTCTATAAATGCTTATATGCCATGATCAATATGATTAAAGCCTTAAGGGATACTAAAGCTACTAAAGTCCTTAAGGGTCCATTTGTTGGTCCATTGGTTGGTGACCGCTGCTCTAGAGGCTAGCCTCAGCCAGCTACAGTGTCTTCTCGCTCCGTCTCCCTGACTGGCTTCCCAGATGTACAACTGTCCTCCTCCCGGCCAGCCGCAGCCCATCTCTGCCGCCTTTGCCGCTGTGTTTGCCCATCGAACTTGTTCTAAATCCTGCCATCCTCCTTCTGTCCTCTGATATTAACTTCTATAGTTAGCCCAAGCCATCGATGGCATCTACCAGGCTGGGTAGATGGTAGATGCTAGGGGTGGAACGGTTCACAAAATCCACGGTTCAGTTCGGTTCACGGTTTCGTGATTGTTACACCGAAATCCCATAAAAATTTATGAAATTAATGAAAAAATCCAAAAATAATTAATGAATTGTAATTATTTTTAATGATCCGTAGAAACCCTGGATCATTTCCGCATGTTTTGCTGCTTTGAATTTAATCATCTGGCACTTGCCCTCTACGATCACCAAGGAACTCAGAGCGGAGCGGACGGGAGCCACAGCGGAGGCTGTAGGCTTTGCTTTGAGCAGCTGGTCTGGAGCGCAGTGGGGTGGAGCGCTGACGGAGTATGTGGGATTTCGGGGTTAGCATGACATGTTGGTCATGTTGCTGTTAGCATAAACAAAACGTGTTGCACAATGCTTGCACACTGTTGCACTTTTATCCACAACTTTCTTTCCGCCGTCATCGTAGGTCACTCTAAATGCAAAGCGGTCCCATACAGCAGACCTATAAAGTGCTGCTGGCGCGTCTTCCAACTCCTGTTCTTTCCCACTCGCCATACCCACACAATTCTCCACAACAACTGATTTTTCTCTGCTACACCCGGCTACGCTGCTTCGCTTCTTCTTGTTTACTACTGGTGGTTGGCTTTGGTCGCAGTACCGCCACCTTCTGCTCTGGAGTGTAAATGCTTCGCCTATGAGAAAAAGGAGCAGCGCATGAACCGAACGAAACACCCGAACCGAACCGAGACAGTCAAACCGAACAGTTCAGACGATTTTCATAAACTGTTCCATCCCTAGTAGATGTTACAGTTTGGCCGACAGGCTTCTCAGATCTATCACTTTGATCCTCAGCTCTCCTCCTAAAGTCAGAATTCCGAGATTAGAGTCAGAATTCTGACTTTAATCTCAGAATTCTGAATTTTTTCTCACAATTCTGACAGCTAACAAACATGTTAGCATCAAGCCATAGCCATGTCTGTTTTAGAGACTAGCTCTCTTGTTTTAATGACCTTCTGCTCCTCCATTAATGAGGGGACCCCTCGGGCACGTAAAAAGTTGCCTAATTCCATCATTTTCCACCGATGTGTTACTGGCTCTCCATAACAACTCACATCTTTGTCAGTCAAGCTGAGTGCTCCCACATCTCTTCCTTCATGGTGCCCATCTACATTAAGATCCAAAATTCTGAGATTAAAGTCAAAATTCTGAGATTGAAGTCAGAATTCTGAGAAAAAAGTCATAATTCTAAGAAAAAAAGTCATAATTCTGAGATTAAAGTAATAATTCTGAGAATAAAATTCAGCATTCTGACTTTTTTCCCATGTTAATCTGATATAAAATTTAAAAATCAGTTAACTTTTTTTTTTCAGTTGCTCTAATCCTCTTCTGTAGTATTTAGTAGCCATACCATGCCAAATGAATATTGTATCTGGATACAGCCTTTGAGGATCGATACTTTTCAGGGTATCAATACTTTTGACAACCATATTTATCAATCTGCTTGATTATCTGCAGCTTTCAGACCTTTGATGGAGAATTATTGTTCTTCTCATTTCCAGTATTGTAAAAAAAACTCTTCAGCCTGAAATCCTAGGCTTCCTTTCAGGGTGAAAATATACAAATTATCTTTCCCTACTTGGATGTAACTTCTGAAGAAGAGTTCTCTAAGATGCTGTCAGCGTTAAATCACCTTTGTGGTCGGGTTGGTTACAGAAATGGACCTTTGGTTTCCACAATGGAGCAGCTGAACCTGCGGTAGTACTGTTCTGTGGTTATTAACAGAGACTGGCTGTTAAACTGCGGCTGTGGGTGTGACTGGGGGGGTCTGAGCTGCAGCTGGATAGGGTGTCTGAGTCGGGCAGAGAGGACAGGATGCAGCGTCTGCTCCAGATGAGTCATCCAGCAGGAGCTGAAGGAAGTAAAACCGCAGCTCCTTTACTCTGAAGTTGTTTTTCTTCAGTGTCTGAGGAAGGGCACCTAATTTAACCACACCATGTTTTTATTCTGTCTGGAGAATTTATTGCTCTCTGAGAAATGTACTCGGTCTTTGAATTTGATGGAAGCAGATTCTAAAAGGCTCGGACTACTGAACAAACTAAAAGAGAGCCGTGTGATGTTTTAGCAGTAGACCTAATGTGGTCGAGATCTGGTTCTGCTATAATTTCAGACAGAAAATCTGCAGTCTTGACCCGCTGTCATTTAAAGTTTGTTCATTCTGAATCAAAGTTCGGCTTTAACCTTGAAATAGGAAATGGAAAATCATTGGTTCCCTGATGCCTTTACAACCTCAGAGTTGTTTCTGACATATTCCTCATGAGTTGCAATGGATCAGCTCCTAATTGCAGGACAGGTGCAGAGGAAAAACTGGTTAGGCTACGTTCACACTGTAGGTCTTGATGCTTGGATACAATTTTTCTGCATTGCCATTCAGACTACTACTTAAATGCAGACCTAATCAGACTTCAATCAGAACTTTTCAATGCCCCAATGCAACCCGCATTAGCAGAAGGATAGTGTAGACATCAAATAGCAGTGCACCGTTTGTGGAAGCAATACTGTTGACATCCATTTGGTTGAAAATTTTTATCCACAGGTAATCCCAATGCACTTTACAGTAATATGTCAGTCAGATCACCCACAGATCCAAGGAAAACCGTCTGATTGCGTCCAGTCATTGACTTTGAAGGATTCGCCCCTCCTGGATGAGTATGTGATGACAGTATACATTCGCTTTTGTTGTGTGGTTGACTCTACAGCAATCCCTCACACCAAGCATGCAGCAACAGTGGACAGGAAGAACTCCCTTTTGATAGGAAGAAACCTCCAGTAGAACCAGGTTTGGCTTTCTGTAGGGGGTTCAAGGGTATAGAAGCAGACGCACAAAAGGAACTCGGAAGCACTGATCCATAAATACTTTCTATTTTGGCAAAGGTAGAGTGAACTAACTCCATAGAGGCTCAAATGCAGAGACAAAAACCGAGGCCTAGGATGGAGTTGGAGAGGTCATGGAGAAATTTTCGTACCAAGACCGACTATCGGTCGGCCTCAAAGCGATTCTGGCACACAGATGGTAGAGGGAAGGATATCCTCAACCCGGCTGATATGCCTTCCAAAGGAAGAGACGGGCTGCTTTAGGCCTGATTCATTCATCACCCAGGCTAAAGCCATTATGGGGTCAAAAAACTCTAAGGAGTTGGCAAGGCTTTGTAGGTGGATGAGATCTGCCCTGAGTACCTCAGGTATATTGTGGATAATATACCGCTTCAACATCACGTGGAGGCCCAGGGGACGACCAAGGACACACTATAGGGACTTTTTCTCGGCTGGCCTGATAGAGTCTCAGCCTTTCCCTGGAGGAGCTGTAGGAGGTGTCTGGAGAGAGGGAAGTCATGAAGTCTGCTGAGACTGCTTCCCCCTCATCCGGTCCGGGATAACGCTGAAGATGATGAGTAGGAGTATGGGTCTTGATGGCAGCAGCTCAGATGTTTCCCTTCAGGATGTTGTCATGACTAAACAGAACCAAAAAAGCAGAGAGAACATAAAGTTTGGATTGAAAACAAATACTGCTGAATGAGAGAATAGAGATGGGGCGAAGCAGTATGATGAAAAGTGGTCCCTATGTCCTCCAGCAGTCTAAGCCTATAGCAGCATAACATAGATATAACTCAGGATAACCTGAGCCACTATAACACTTAGCTTTATCAGAGATGAAATCTTTTCACCTAGTCTAAGTCGCTGTGTTATTTTAAGTTGCTTAACTACAGCAGCTGACTAGGGATGCACGATATAATCGGCCCCCTATCGGTATCGGCCTTAAAACTGAATATCGGATATCGGCCAAAATCCCAATATTGTGCATCCCTAGACAGTACTATGATCATACAGGACAGATTTGGTTCAAATTTGCCTGCAGTTTAAATGTAGCTTTAGAGACTGTGGAAGACCTGAAACGGGCGGGATTCACCTTTAAGCAGGAAAAGCACCCTAAATATTCAGCCAGAGATACAAAAGATGGTTTAGATCAGGCTTCCTCATTTCCGGCCCCTGCGGTCCGCTGTGTCCTGCACCTTTTATATGCTTCTCAGCTTTAACACCTGATTCAAACTAACTAACTACCTTCTCAGCCTGTAGTTCTCCAGACTGCTAAGAATGTGATTATTTGATCCAGGCTTGATGAAGCTGACACATCTAAAAAGGGGCAGGACACTGGCCCTTGAGGACTGGAATTAAGGAAGCCTGGTTTAGGTTTGAAGTATCTTCATATGTTAGAACAGCCTAGTTAAAGTCCAAAACTTTCTCCAATTTAGAATGCCCAAAAGACTTGAAAAAGATGCTCATCATCAGATGCTTCCCATCAAGTCTGATTGAGCTAGAATGCAAAGAAATCAGAGTTTAAATGTTGAAAGCTGGTGGAGACATGAAGTGGTGTTCTTAAAGGACTGACGAAGTAGAGGATTAATGCAAATACAAATCACACTTCTGAGATGCTGACATATAAAAAACGATCTGTTTTTCCTTCTATGTTAGCTTCATTTTGATTTTCTTTTCAACATCCACCAAATTATACCTTCAAGAATATCATAGAAATGTTAAATATCTTCACATCATCCTCCACCCACTAATTGACTTTCTGTATGCGCTTGTTTTTCTGTTCAGGCTCTGGATGTAGATCGCAGCGTTCTCTACAAGATGAAGAAGTCTGTGAAGGCCATCTACGCTTCTGGTCTGGGTGAGTCGTGATGGCGGATTCTGCAGATTCTGCGGATTCTTTTCATTTCAGTTTAGACGTCAGACTCAACCTGATTGAAGCTAATCAAACCACAAAACTTCAGAAATTTTTACATCACAGGTTCTAGTAATAGTTGTGCAGGTTTTACTTTCTCAGTCATTTTTTGAAACACTCTTATTTTGAGAATTTTTCTAAATAACGTCAATAAACTAACTGAGTATATATGGCAGTCTGAGGTGCTGCCTTTACCTCTGGGTTGCTGCACCAACTGAAACTAAGAAAGCAGCATCTTTCTTTTATGACGCTGTATTGGACTTAGAAGGATGCAAATAGAAATAAAGATGGCTGCCTTCAGAGAGATTTGACCAGAAAAGCCTTAAAGTGGGAATTGTTAATGTGGTGTTTTGTTTGCTGCAGTGTTTTCACTGTCCTTTGTTTGGGTCGATTGACAGAACCCTGCAGAGGGAGCAACTCAGAACGATGTGCTGAGCGGGTTCTTTTTTCCAAACAGAGCATGCTCTGTTCAGGCCACAGAGACAGCTGTCTGATTCAGACCCTGAAAGGAACAGCTGGGGGGGAGAGAGACCCATGTTCTCACTTCACTGTACATTTAAGCATGCTTGCTGGTTTGTGTAGATTTTATTCAGCAGCTATGTGGGACAGAAATTCCACTTTATACTGGCAAACAGTCTATGGGCAAGAGGTGTTGTTCACCTTGGACAGTCGGAGATAGGCACCTGCCCCACCATGACCCTGACAATATAACTAGGAGAGGATGGATGGATGGATGGATGGATGGATGGATGGATGGATGGATGGATGGATGGATGGATGGATGGATGGATGGATGGATGGANGATGGATGGATGGATGGATGGATGGATGGATGGATGGATGGATGGATGGATGGATGGATGGATGGATGGATGGATGGATGGATGGATGGAAGAATGTCAGTGTTTATGGTATAAATGGTTCATTATTAGGGTCTTTCTAGAACATCTTTATTTCCTTCTTTTACAGAAGGCTCACATTAACCAAAGCTGCCTGTTTTTAACAGTCTTTGCAGAAAAGCTGTCATTGTCCTTACCTGTTCTGGATATAAATATTTCTATTAATTCTCTAATTTACGGCTGGCTAATTTAAAAAAATGTATATATTTCTTAATTTCGGTTGATATATAATATAATTGCGATGCTAATGTATAGCAAAGGTTCAGAAGCGATGCCCCCAACAGATGCCTGTACAAACTTCTCAAAAATGTTTTCCTATATCTGTGAAAATCTTCCAATATAACATTTAAAAAAACAAAATTTTTTTCAAAACCCATCCAACTGTTTTCATATAGAGCTGCAACTTGAACAGATACAATTTTATACATTTAATTCAAATTGCGGGAATTGACAACGCATTTCATCTTGAAACACTTAAGAGCTGAGCCCATAACTATGTTTTTGTAGAAAAACAGGACTAAACACGGAAAAACAGGCCCAACTCTACAATCTACAATTGAAAATTTGATGGCAGTGGCTCAGCTCGTATTTCCCTACGCAATTGTATCACAGCCAAACAGGAAAAGACCAGATAAAGATACTATGATAAGAAAGAGTATAATGAGCATGAAGTTAGAGGTTAAACTAATAAACACTGCAGAATTGGAGCTAGAATGACGTAGTATGATGAAAAGTGGTTTCCATGTCCTCCAGCATTCTAAGCCTATAGCAGCATAACTATAGAGATAGCTCAGGCCACTCTAACTATAAGCTTTATCAAAAAGGAAAGTTTTAAGCCTAGCCTTAAAAGTAGACAGGGTGTCTGCCTCAATAATTAAATGAACTGGCATCACTGGCTGACTTTACCTTACAAAAAACAAAACAAATAAAATCAAGATGGGCAACTTTTGCTGTTTCTCTTCTCATCACACTTAATGGAAATCGCCAAATTCAAAACAACTTTCATTTTATATTCCTGTGAGGTCTTTTTTTTTTCTTTTTGTAAATGTGCTTAAGGTTTATCTCACATAAGTGATCAGCTTTTTTCACTGCTTGTGTCCTGAATGCAATTATTAGAATTGCATTTCTCTCAATATGCTTTGCATATAGCATCACTGATACCAGCTGACCTGATAAAATGAGTATGACCAGATTGAACCCCATTCATTAAAACCTCACTTCAGTATTGATCTGTGGTCCCCTTTAGCTAATTCACTTCTTTCACTTTGAGCTAATTGTAACCGTAGACTAATAATGAGGTTTTGCTTTGCATTGCCTGGTTAATTGGCTAGAATGAATGGAAATGTGTCTAATTTTGGTTTTAGTTTTCAAGTTTGCTCAAAATTCACATAAGAATCATATAAAACACAGCTAATGTTGACTTTGTCTATCGGCTTAAAAGGTCCAGTGATCATCTCCATCTAAAGAACTAAGCTCCAAGATCATGACTGAAGTAATTTCCTTCCACCTGTCAGCCCCCCATCTTTGGTGCTCCAGTACAAACAGAAAACTTGTTTGCATTTTCTAGGGAAGGGTCTTCCTATGTCACCTCACACAGCTCCATGGATACTCATGACCTTTTTGTTTTTGGCCCATCACTTTCAGGATGCGTTAAGGAGTTCAAAATTGTTTTGACATGGAAACTTTTAAGACTGGGAGTCTTTTTACCTTTGCTGGTAGTGGGTTATGACAATGTGGACCCTTTGCACAAGTATGGCTCCTCTGTGGGGTGCCTGCCTCCTGCTACCTTCCCTGGGAGCTGAGTTCTTCCAGATTAACTTTCTTCTCAATCTAAAAAATTTCAGGTGACAATCCAGCACACACTTACTCCACACAGGTTAAAAAAATTAGAAGAACAAAGAAAGACAGGCTCATCTTTTCTGACGCATGTAGGGAACCAGCTTCTCATTGTGGTATGCTTAAAATGCTGCAGTGGGACTAAAAAAAGATTGTCCCTGATAAAATCAAGGTTCCTTCACCAGGACCAGTGGCTGTGACTGTCCTTTAATGCTAACGGTTATTGTGATGTTTCAAACATCAACATACCAAAATTGAAGTAGATAGCTAAGATAAATGCTGGAATGCTGCTGGTTGTAAACCTAAAAATATATTGGAAACAGTTTGCTTGGTCATAAACAAACTTAAGGAAATCTCACTAGAGGTTAAAATGTAAAAGAAAACTGGATTATATTTATTCTGGAGTATATCAAGAAGATTAACTGTAAAAAAAAGAAATAGGTTTTTCTAAAGATGCAGGGATCTGAATATGGCTTCATGGTTTACAGTTTACAAAACATTGTGGTGAAAGACTAGGTGCCCTTCCTGATCTATTTACTTGTAGAAGCACCTCTAGCTCTCAGTAGTTGTTTCCTTCATTCTGGAAAAACTTTGGCTTTTGTCGTAGCAGAACGTCAGTTTATCAAATCCATTTTTGTCAACTTGCTTTGGCCCTGCCTACCCGATCCGTCCCTGAAGCACGATCCGTACCATCAGCTAATTCACACATAAGGATCCAGATATACATCAGGGTCACCATTGATTTTATTTTGTAAAAAATACCTAAATTACATTTTTCCCTCCACAAAAATAGTAGGCATACTAAAATAAAACGTGTTAAAGGTTAAGAATGTATTTCCTGGGATAATAAATGCATTAGAAAATAAAATAAATAATAAAAATAAATAGGAGAAGATTTTTCTCTCCTTAGCTCAGAACATTGAAAAACAACCAAATCAATTAGCAAAACTATGCAGATGATACACAGATTTATATCACAATGTCACCAGGTGACTATAAACCCATCAGAGTGTTGGTAAGATGCTTAGAACAGATCAATATGTGGACGCACCATCATTTTCTACCTTTAACTTTCATTTATCTTTAGTAGAATTGATCACTGCAAGTGTTTTCAAAGGTTTGCCTAAAAGGTCCATCAGACGGCTGCAGCTGATCCAAAATGCTGCTGCCCGTGTTCTCACTAGACTTAAGAAAGTAGAGCGCAACAGCCCGGTTCTGAAGATTTCCACTGGCTCCCTGTAGCTCAGAGAATAGACTTTAAAATCCTTCTGTTAGTCTATAAATCACTGATTGGATCAACACCTCAATACCTGAAGGAATATTTATATTTCATCGTTCACTTTCAAGTGCTTCACAAAAGACTAAATAAAAGCTTGAGTAAAAAGAAATGTCCTAGACAAAAAAAATTTAAACTATGATTATAAATTAGGGTTTTAGGAATTGTTATATAGCAAATGCCATTAATTGTCCTGCCCACTTTAATTGCCTCAGTTCTTTAATCTCTCTCTTTTTTTGGGTATCTTAAGCTGCTTCTTCTAACTAATAATCTCCAGTTCCTAACCCCTTTTGAGATTGCTGTGCACCCACAGTCACACTTTAAAGGGCATTGCTGATATTTTAAAGATAAAACATGCAGGTCTTATTTCTCTAGAATTGGACTAATAGTGGATACAGTCATGCAGAAAGGTCTGATAGAAACCTTCCATGTTGCTGTATGAGTGGAGAAACTGTAAAAGTGTTGAGAAGCTAGGTATCGCCGCCCAGTAAGACCGGCTATTAAATCTAAAGCTCAGAGGGGGTTCGATTTTTGAAGAGTAAATAGTTAAGAGTTCATGGAGGGAAAAACTTACAGAAGCTGAGTCAGAGATGAGAGCTCCTGCTGCAGGGTGTTTGGAAAGCGATAGAGGCAGAGGAGCAACTCCTCACCTGCTGCATCACGAAGCCGCCAGACTGTTACGGATTAATGAAACAGTGTCAGGTTTAACACCTACAACACTGTAAAACAAGGAAAGAAAGACACAGAGGCTACGTTTACACTGCAGCCTGAAGTGACCCAATTCCGATTTTTTTGCCCATATGTGACCTGTATCTGATCTTTTTATGACAGTCTGAACGATACAGATCGGATTTTTTCAAATGCGACCCAGGCCACTTGGATATGTGGTCCTGAATCCGATACGTATCTGATCTTTTCAAATGCGACCTGTGTCT